GTATAAGTTATTTAGTTTAAAGGTGTTTCTAAATATTTATTTTTATTAGAATTTTAAAATGTAGGTTTGTTGGAAGGGTTAAAAAAAATGTAGCATCATAAGACAATACCATAATTTTTTTTTTAACACTACAACTTCATAAAATCTACTTTTAAATAGACCTACTACTATAATATTGTTAAACGAGTGTCCACACTAAATACTATGTTTCTAGTCTTTGTATTAGCTGAGATTTTAGGATTGTACACACACAACAAACAGAAAAATAGAACTGTGACACCTACTTTTAAACATTTTTGTATCTGAAAAAAAGTGCATGGGGTGGTTGGTGTCTTTAGTTTTAACTTGTCAATGCTAAATTGTTTACGAATGACATAAATCTTGTGTGTAATCTTTTCTACAAATGCCGAACTTTATCACAACGAACACATTGAAAAAGTATTTTTTTTTTTTTGGGGGGGGGGGGGGGGGGGGGGATTCATAAATAATAAAAAATGCCGTGTAGTGACTTTCTTTAAAGTTAATTGAGTATTCTTTACAGGACGTTGCAGAACAAACCCTAGCATTGTGTGTGTGTTTGTTTGTTAGTTTGTTTGTTTGTTGTGGTTTTTCTAGGCAAATGTTACTTTCAGTAGCTTGCCATTTCTACTGAACGGTCAGCTCTAGGTACCACTGTCGAAACCAACGCAAGACAAATCGTCCCTAGATGGGATCGAACCCGGCACCCCGGCATGACGAAGTGTGTGCGCAACGCCTAAGCCACAGACGCCGACATTCTTTCTATACCACAATGAATATTAAAGGAATTTTAAAAAGTCAAAGAAATAATCTACTTGTCTGGCTAATCACATGTCTCAACGCTACAAGCATGGCCATATTAGAGTAGGTGGGACATGTGCAGCTGCACAGTGCGGCACAATCTTGGGAGCGGTATAATCTTCAAGGTAACAAAGTATCATCATCAGTCAACAGACCCTCAACAGAAGGTCGCTCTCTTCATGGCGCGCCTAAAAGTAGCTTTTTTCTAACCAATTCTCCAACCCATTCTTAGTCCAGGCATTTTCAATGTATTGTCTCCCTCTTGGCGGAAGTCAGCTCCTGCCTCGTTTTCCGGAAATTGTCCGTCTTGCCTTTCCTTTGAGTGTAGAGTTTTGACCAGATCCCCTTGTCACTCCCAGCTGTACCATTCTCCCCAGACCATAATGATCGATTCGTGCCTCTGCGCTGTTCACTTGCTCCAAAAGGGACTTTACCACATCTAACGAATCATTCATAAATTCACCACCATTGAGTCAGAACCAACCAGTCTGTCTGCCTGTTTATTTCCCAAAACACCCGCTCTTCCCGGAGAAAATATCCAAAGAACGCTAACTACCAGGGAAGTTGTAACAGCAACTGCGACCTTCATTTAAGATCACCTGTTCTGATGTATGACAGTGAAACCTGAAATATAAATGAGCACATGTTGAAGAGCTTGAAAGCAACACAGAAGTGGTTTGTTTTTGAACTTTGTGAATACCTTTGGCAAACGGAGTGACTGGCAAGGATAACATGAAAATATTTCATGAAAGCTGAACAATCTATCACAGTAAGAAAAATACAGAGTTCGGCTAGCCTCCGAATAACAGCCACATATTATGGCGGCCAAAATCACACCCTGACAGGGCCTCATTAGGTCGTGTGTTGTAAACATTCAAAAACTTGAACTCGAAAATTAGGAGGAACGTAAAAAAGGGAAAATGACGAAATCGACTACTTAGCGATAATTGAGACCTTTATATCTGAAAATAGTGCTTGAAAATCTGCTCTTTGTGGTTGTGACGTCATTGAAACTCAGCTAAATATGATCGGTGCCGCATTGGTAACACAGAGTTATACCACCGAGAGTATCTAAACCGAGAGGGGCTAAACTAGATGGCTGGGGCTCACGGGCAAATAAATTTGAGGAAGTTGCAGGAGATACGGTAGCTGCTGCTCGTGAGCCCCAGCCATCTAACTTAGCGAGTGGTCTCTCCGCCATGTCGCTATTATTGTATGTATTGTTGCGTTTCTCGAAATTGTCAACGGACAATAATTTTAGTTTTTCCGCCATGTGTTCGTTGGAGGAAGTTGGCAATTTACATGTGATTGAGGCCCTGTCAAGGTGTGTTTTTGGGCACCATAATATGTGGCCGTTATTCGGAGGATAGTCCCGAGTTCTTATGCTTACACAGATAGATAAGCAATTAGTGTGGTTAAAAAAAAATAGTGGTATTGTCATCTTTATCACATATACAGACTACCATCACGACGCAAAGTATCCACTGATTTGATTGACTGGCACCATTCCGACTGTTCAGACGATAGTTTTTATCGTGCAAAATTTTTTCCAAAGCATGTAGAGTGGGACAAGCAAGACCCTCGTGAATAACATTGCAAAAAGCCTAGGCAGTTTTAAAAAGATATTTGTTGAATATGCATTATGATCTTTTCCTCGGCCTGCTTTGTTTACTCCAAAGGAAAGGTAACACCAATACGCCTGGAATAAAGCAGGCTGCAGAATCCAACACAATGTATGTAGCTACTACAGGTCCGGATTTAGACGTGACGGGGCAGTAAGTTACATGAAACCCCGAGGCCTAACCTTTTAGATTACAGCCAAAAATCTCTGCAACGACTGTCTGGCTATATTCATATGTAGTCTACTCTGACACATTGGTTAAATATTGTAACACGGCAAATTGTAAATGGGACATTAAGCTCCCCGCTTTCCTCTTCCAGTTGTTTTTGTAAGAGGACTAATTCGCCCCCCCCCCCCCCCCCTTCTTATTTTTTCCCCGAAGCTTATAGAAAATTACTCTCCTGAAGTTCTTGCATGCATTTACTATTCCCTGTATGTAATCTTTTTTTATTTTTTTTATTTTTTAATTTTTATTATTTTTATTAATCATTTGAGGAAGGCTTAGGTCCCATGTCCCCACCCCCCCCCCCCCCCCCCCCTTTACACCCCGAAACCAGCAAAGATTTGTAAGAGCACTGGGTATCAGTGTTTCTGTGTGTGTGTGCCCCTAAGTTAGGCATACACTTGTGTATACACCCATTCAGGTTCTACTCTGAACGTCACACGTAGCGAAAGACTTTTAAATCAGGGAATGGAGGAAGGAGTCAGTCAAAAAATACAAATGTTAGTGTGGAGGGCAGAAACAGAATAGATACAAAAAGCCAGCAAATGCTGAAATGATAACAGCAAGAGATACCACGGAGGTGTATGAAATAAAGAATGACCCAAGACAAAATCTGAACTTAGATACTGAGGAAAGAAAGTTTATGATGAGAAGAAGTGAATGTTTTTACGTCTTTATCAAAGAAAAGAGCTACTTTGTGATAAACCGGACGTGGTGAAGGCTCTATTGGATTAAATTGACAGTGCAATAGAACAGAGAATAACTACATTGAAAGATTAATAGTATGGGATGCAGATAGGGGTTCTGGCAGGTTTTGAACAATAGGGAGGGAAATATTCGGACTGTTAATCATAATTTATATCTCGTCCCCTTGTGAGATGCAATTTTGCGTTATTTTAAAGCCCATCCCTGCTGTTGTCAGGGGCCCTAATGTAACCAAGGGTTGAAAGGGGTTTCCTTCCCTCTCCACGGGTGATCCTCATCCGCATGGTGGCACTTTCTGTGACTATGTGTTTATCGCTCTGGGTGAAGTCCTGGTGGGGTAAAATTTGCTTTTAATCATGTTGCGACTGTTACTATTAGCATGTCGATTCTTCGTTGGATACTGAGGAAGGAGACGGAGCACGTATGGGAATGTCCCGAGTGATATCAATTCTTCATTCATTCATTTTTTCATTCACATATCAAAGAGTAAAAATTGTCCAAAAGATTAATCCTTATTTCGTCCTTTTATCAATATCTGTTTTCATTTACTAGATTTGGCGATTCATCAGATGATAGGTAGCCGAGCCATGGCTCGATCTTTTGCTTGCTATGCCATGATTCTTGCAGGTCATAGGCTGTCTGTGAGTCCTTTATTCCATCTTTATCTGGGTGTCCCTCTGTCTCGTGCTGTTTCGAATTTCATGTTGTACTTTCTTTGTCTCTCTCTCTCTCTCTCTCTCTCTCTCTCTCTCTCTCTCTCTCTCTCTCTCTATCTATCTATCTATCTATCTATCTATCTATCTCTCTATGTCCGCATATTGAAATTTAGTTTTTAAGTAAATCCCGCAGTCTTTTTCGCCTCAGCTTTCAGTAATCTTCAGGATAGAAGAATGGCCACAACAAATGTTGAATTTCCAGAGACCGAAAAATTGACACTTGAGGTGGGAATAGAAATTAAACAAACGTATGTACACACATAAGTGACTATTCTAGATGAATGAATACGTAATATTCACTCCAGCATGGTAAAGAACTCCGAACTTAAGAAATGTGAGTGATGTGGTCCCCTGAACAAGATGGCAGTGAAAGAAATGTCAGCTTCAGTAAGACTGTTCAAAGAGAGAAAGACAGATTCCAGAGCTATATATTCAGAAGATGCTCACGGTAACAGTCAGTTAACTGGCGTTTCGCAATGAAATTTGTATAAAGTGATCTACACTCTCACAGTGAAACAGAACAAATGTCTTGCATGTTTACCGACACATAATAAACATAAAGAAAAAAAAATCAAGAATATTCTCTTCAGCTCTTTAATATCTTTGGTATCCGATACAAATACGGCAATTTAACACAGCATGACATACAAGCTGGGAAACTGTTTCCTACTAATACAGCTTTGTTTTATTAAATACACCAGTATTGATGTGCGAATATCTTAACATTGTTACTCCCGCTGTTACACTTAACTATCTAACACAGATAACTGGTGGGTTTGAAAAAAAGAAACTCTAGCATATATTTGTCCTATTTGTTGATGGTAGTAATATTAAAATCCGGGTTCAGCGATCTTCAGGGAAATAATATTGACGTTTGGCCAAGTTGTAGCAAAGGCCAGGCTGCTTTTTTCAGTCTTTAGTCAGAGTCATAATAATCAGCATTGTCTCCGCCGAACCACTGTAGATAACATAAACAAACAAGTTGATTATAAATTGGTTTTGCTATTTATATGGCAACAACTGCAGTTCTAAATACTTATATTTTGATTGTTTTTTTAAGGAGAACATTTCTTCTTCTTTTTCTTCTTCTTCTTCTTCTTCTTCTTCTTCTTCTTCTTCTTCTTCTTCTTCTTCTTCTTCTTCTTCTTCTTCTTCTTCTTCTTTGTCTTGTTTTCCTTCTTCTTCTTCTTCCTCTTCTTCTTCTTCTTCTTCTTCTTCTTCTTCTTCTTCTTCTTCTTCTTCTTCTTCTTCTTTTTCTTCGTCTTTTTTTTTCTTCTTCTTCTTCTTCTTCTTCTTCTCTTCTTCTTTTTCTTCATCTTCTTCTTCTTCTTCTTTTTCTTCTTCTTTTTCTTTTTCTTTTTCCTCTTCTTCTTCTTCTTCTTCTTCTTCTTCTTCGTCTTATTCTACTACTAATATTACAATTACTCTACTACGACTACTACTACTACTGCTGCTACTAATACTACTGCTGCTGCTGCTACTACTACTATTATTACTACTACTACTACTACTACTACTACTACTACTACTACTACTACTACTACTACTACTACTACTACTACCACTACTACTACTACTACTACTACTACTACTACTACTTCTACTGATAATAATAATAATAATAATAATAATAATAATAATTATAATTATAATACTGATAATAATAATAATATTACTACTACTACTAACTACTGTCGCTGCTGCAGCTGCTATTAGGTCAGCTACTCTTCTTCTTCTTCGCCTTCACCGGCCTAAACTCCAGCGGAAAGTTCTGGTTGTTCGTCCATCTCTGGACAGCAGTCTTTTTTCAGAACTGGGGTGTTGCGTGTGCATCTGTTTGACAGATCTGACACTTACATGTGCAGACTGTTGGTTCCTTGCATCTCAGTCAGATGCACTCCGACTTTAAAGAAAGCTCCCAATTTGTCGACTCTTACGACATGCTTTTTGGTAGGTAGTGGGTTTATTCTTGTTTCCCTATATTAGGGCCCTGGAAAACACACGGGGAAAATTAGCTGCCAAAACTACTAATTCTACAAATACTACTACTCCTGCTGCTGCTAGTGCTACTACTGCTGCTACTAATTTTATCTTCTTCTTCTTCTATTTCTTTTTCTTATTTTTCTTATTCTGTTGCTGCTACGTCTACTGCTACAACCACCACTACTTCTACTACCACGGCTACTGCTGCTGCAACTACTGCTACTAACACTATGAACACTACCACGAATATACCTGTGCTGCTGCTGCTCATACCACTACTGCTAATATTAGAAAGGCGGAAATTAAAATAAACTAATGCTATGAATACTGCGGCTACTGCTAGTAGTACTATAAAGATTGAAACGAAAAGACTCGAAATTTACAATAGTTCCTTTATAGACCAACATAAATAAGCATTATTAAACTTCAAACCCAATTTGAATACCACATTACATCCTAAATTGATAAAAACAACGAAACAAAACATGTTTACTTACACTACCACCCCATCCACCGCCGATACTCCCACTCGAGCTTCCAGCACTGGCCCAGCTGCTAGCACCAGCCGAACTTCCAACGCCTCCCCAGTTTCCAACACCTCCGTATCCAGCATAGTTTCCGTATCCACCGTATTTTCCGTATCCACCATAGTTTCCTAGGCCTCCATAGTTTCCGTATCCACCATAGTTTCCTAGGCCACCATAGTTTCCGTATCCACCATATTTTCCTAGGCCACCATAGTTTCCGTATCCACCGTAGTTTCCTAAGCCACCATAGCTCCCGAAACCACCCCATCCACCTCCATATTTCCCAACATTCAACTTGTTTCCGTAGCTATAGGCAACAGACACAGAGGCAATGGCTGCCAGAATCAGAAGAGCTTGAACAGTTGTCATGCTTACAGCTTGATACAGGATTCTGCAAGGAATATTGTTAGTTTTTTTTTAAAAACACGGAAAATTTACACCAGGTCTATCGGCAGTTGGTGGATGATATGGTTAATATCACACCGGTCGCCCTAACTTCTAAGAACACTACCTGATACAAATTTTAGGCTGGGCTGATTTCTTAGCCAATGTCAATTTATGGCATGTGATGCTAACCCGATCTTTGTAGAGACTAGTCATTTACGTCTAAGGAGAATCCTGCACCGGAAACATCAGTATTGGAACTCTGCGCTGGCTGCTGAAGGTGAGGAAAGAGCACGCATGGGAAAGCCCTTAGTGCTGTGATGTCAATTCTTGACACAACTCAACTCAACTTAACTAAGGAGAATCCTGCGTATAGTTTGGCTAAACAAGATCACATGTGAATAAAAACTTAGGAGGAAAAGAGCATATTTAGCACTGGCAAACGGTATAACAGGAAGAAGACGAAAGTGGCTTGGATATGTTTGGGGAATTCTTTCTGACATTTTGGCAAAGACAGGTCTCCGAGCTAATACCAAAAAAAAAAAAAAAAAACCTGTATAGGTTACCTAAAGGCACCTGGATCAGGAGAGTAGAAAGAGAACTGAAGGAATGTAAATAGTCACTCGAATGCCATAGGCATAAAAGCAGCAGATTGGCATAAGTAGCAATCACTTGTGAATGCCGTATGCGTTAAAAACAACTTGAAAAAGATATAGATAGAATCGTATATATACCAAAACAAGGGGCATGGTTCAATTCTCAGCTTCATTTTCTTATTCTTGTGATCTCCCTATGATCTTCGCCCAGAGACAAGTTCCTGTGATAAAATGTACTGTTTTTAGGAGTTCCCTTTTAGAGTAAAGTGTTGACTCGATTAGCTAATATTCCCTTTTTACTGGAATGTACAGGGGACATACTGAACAGTTTGCCCGTAAGGCCCACATGGGCTTAGCGGTGAACTACTCAAAGCCTGCGCCTATGCTTGTTAAGTTTGTTATGCCCTGTCCTGAAGCGTAGAATAATGAGCTGCCCGTGGTGGTCAAGTGAGTTGTGGTCATCGCTGGCCAGATTCTGATCCAACTTGATAGATTAGATGGTCCTCCTCTTCTCAAAGTATGTTACTGCATTGTCTTCCTGTTCAAATTCTGACCCTTTCTTAGCAAGATTATCTGCGATTTTGTTTCATAAATTCTCCACACACAAAAACCCGTGTTATATTCGCTGGCCAGCACAGATCCAGTAACGACCTGACCTGATAACAACTGGTAAGGGATCTTTTCCACGCCTTCGAGCGTGTTGAGCATACAATGCCGGGTCTATATTTTATAGACCAATCGGTACTCGGTGTGTGATGTGGTCAACATCACCCCGACCGCCTTTACTTCCCATGACTGTACCTGTTACCCATTTAAGGCTGGGTCGACCTGACTGACTGACTGACTGACTTTTACCCCACCAGGACAACACACAAGCGATAAACACCCAATGACACAATGTGCCACCATGTGGATGAGGATCACCCTGGAGAGGTCCCAGAAACCGCGTTCAGCCTTTAGGCCATATTTATGGCCAGGCTATATTGCGGCCCCTGGCATGAGCCAGAGTAGGGCTTCAAATAACGAAAAATTGCATCCTAAAAAGGACCGCAAGATATATTACGTGGGTCGACCTGAGAGAGAAGGTCATTTTGGGTAAATAGTGCTATAACAATATTTTATAGACCAATCAGTACTCGGTGGGTGATGTGTTCAACATTACGCCGACTGCCTTTACTGTCTAGGACTTTACCCGATACCCTATTAACTCTTTCAGTCCCAGGGAACGCATCATACGTTAATAGGTTCCTACCTGGAAGCCCAATGAACGCATAATGTGTCGATGTCAGTCTGTACTACCCATTGGGCCTGTGATGCTAAATCCCCTGGGACTCAGAGAGTTAGGGTTCGGTAAAGGAGGTCCAGTAACGAAGGGTGAGTCGACCCGTGAGCCAAGGTCATCTTTGAAAAAAGATTGATTCTCTTCATACTTGAACCCACGACCTTCGGATCCGCAGGCGATGATCTAGCCGCTACACCACGGCGGCTCCACGTTGCTACTTCCCAATTTTATAGGAATTGTCTAGACAGGTAAAGTGGCGATGGAGAAAACAGTTCATCCTACAGTGGCTGTGGTTTTCCAGAACATACGAAGCCACAACATGTTATACCCCAGAGTCAACAACAGCTGTAGGACTCGCTTTACCCTTTGTAGAATCCATGTCTATAATACTGGTCCTGTAATAATTCAGACCAGACTGTTTGCTATGTTTAGAAATTTTAATATCAGGGCTTTTTTCTACGGTACGCGGTACCGGCACCTTTTTTAGACATGTATTTAATACTAATGTAATAGGCACTTTGGGGTGAGTACCAGCGCCATTTTTAGACTTCTTGTCTGTCGTTTGTTTCACTAGAAGGAAAGAAAGCCCGGCCTAGAATACAAAACGTTCTTTCACTGCTCATGTCTCATCTCGTTAAGCATTAAAGATAACTAATCGTACGAGAAATCCAAGGAATATTCATCAGTATTTACACTGCTGCTCCAGCAACTACTGCAACGACCTTTGGGCTAAGCTGGATTGGCTTTTGCCCGTCCCTTGTTTGGGAGGTCCCCAAAACTATCGAAGAGTTCTATGATCCCTAGGAGCTGACGGTTGTCTACTGCATCAGAAAGTATTCGAAGGGGTCAAACAATTTTAAATTGCTATCTTGGTACGTAGTTCAATATTGTTTCTGCGGACATCTAACTTCTTGTTTTGTGGTGCCATTGTTACTGAGTTAACAGATAAATGAAAATATGAAACACTAATGATACTATTCTTATAAAATTCAAAAGTTATAAAGGAAACTGTGCTGTTTAACACTTTCTTTACGCATACCCATTCAGTCTTCTCCTTTAGATCAAAGATAATCTTAACAAAGTGCACTATCTCCTTAGCACTCATGATGATCCAAGTGTACGCTTGCCAGAATCACACATGTAATAAGTATTTATTTTATGACTGAAAGAACCGTTTTCTATGTCTTTGTTTGTATAAGGATAGACCTATCTTGTGTACTGCAATCAGCACTGTGGTCACCATCCCCCGGCCACCTTTACTTCCGATGACTTTACCTGTTACCTCTATAAGGTTGGGTAGACCTGGAAGCCAAAGTCATATTTGGAAAAAGTGCGACCGCTCGGATTTGAACCCAGGATCTTCGGATCCGCTGGCCAGCGTCTAGCCGCTACACAATGGTGGTTTTATGACTGAGTTTTTAATTTTAATTTTTCACTTTTACAGGACAGTGATGTATAAGACCTGCTCCTGTATATGCCCAACTAATTTCTTTCGTGTGCCAACTGCCAGATGGCCCTCGTAATTGTCTGATAATTTCTGAGAATTCGAACATAGAAGAGACATAATCAGTAGATTAGACAATTTATTGCCTTGAAAATTGGAGTCGCCGTGGCGGAGCAGCTGGACGCTCGCCTGAGGATCGGAAGGTCGTAGGGTCGCTCCCTGGCGGAGCCAGACTTTTTTTTTAATGACCTTGGCTCCCAGGTCGACCCATCCTTGAGTGGGTGCAGTCCCGAGAAGTAAAGGGGGCCAGCGGGATGCTGACTACATCACCCACCTTGTGCCGATCGGTCTATAAAAAGACAACACATTTGAACAACCACAAAGCACACTCTCTCTACTTACTAACAACGTAAGGTGGGCACAGTATCTTTACTTACTTACCCTTAAAGATCGGGAAAAGTTCAGAAACAAGACGTGCACAAGAGACAAGTGGAGGATATCCTGACGTGAGATGGCCTCCCCTTAAATACTGACCATCTCAAGGTGCCAGGGTGATTCACAGAAGGAATGTGGAGATTACAACGGCTTAATCCGAAACGGAGACGAGTACACTTTGACAAGTTCGTGTCGTGTGTCATAGATTTGAGGTAGAAATATTTCTATCTGGTCCAACATTTGGGAGCCTGGGGCAGAATTTAACCAGTGCTTTAAGTATTAGCAGACGCGTTAATCTGTCTACTTAACATACATTAATTACTGGAGTCAGACCTAGGGGTTGTGTCCAATTAGGGCAACGCCACAGAAAAAAAAACATTAAGGAAAGGTGGGGTGGGGGGGGGAGTAGAGGGCTAAATTTCTAGGAGAGAGAGGCCGAAGTCTTGTGTAACGACTTAATAACAATAAGTATTATTATTGTGCAATTAAACAAGACTTAAGCTACTCTGCCACCCCTAGAAAATTATTGAATTTTGAATTAAGAATTGACATCACAGCACTCGGGACACTCCCATATGTGCTCAGTCCCCATCCTCAGCAGCCAGCGAAGAGTTCCATTCTGATGGTACCAGTAACTGTCTGATTGTATATCTGTCTCATCCTTCCCCTGAGTGTTGTTCGGCTAGATCCCCTGGTAACTCCTCGAAGCGCCATTCTCCTTACCGTAATGATCTATCTGCGCCTTCGCCTGTTTAGTCGCTCCCAAAGGGCGCTCATAATATCTAACTTGTCATACATCAATTCACCACCAAGTGGTGCAGAGCTAGCCTATCTATCTGCCTGCTTATTTCCCAACACATTTCCCATAGAAAAATATTTGCGTGCTTAAGAGGTGTAGGTGATATTTAATTGTGCAAAGTAATAATAATTATTATTATTGTTATTTTTTACTATTAAAAAAAAGTGAAGATCCCTTTTCACGCCTTTCGGCGCATCGGGCATATGGGCAGAGCGTCCCATATTTTCACAAACCGTCAGCACTCTGTGAGTAATGTGGTCAGCATTACGCCGGCTGTCTTTACTTTCCCAGGACAGCCCATCCTGGTGCCCATTTAAGGCTGGGTCGACCTGCGACGTCCCATACCACGATAAAAATCCACGCAGCCTGCAGTGGGTTTCGATCGCGGTATGCTGGCTCACGAGTCGGACTCGCAACGCCTTAGCCACG